TGGTGACTACTTACTTGGCCTCAAGAAGATACTTTCAGCGTCCACCTAATCTCGAGGTCTATCCTAAATCACATTTCAGCTTCATCGTCAATGTCGCCACTACCATCACAAACTATAACATCTGTTGTATTAACAACGAAATCATCAACAGCCGCAAAAGTATCAACTACCGCAGAAGTATTAACATCCGCAAAAGTATCAGCAACCGTAAAAGGATCAACAACCGCAAAAGTATCAACAACCGCAAAAGGATCAACAACTGCAAAAGTATCAAATGCTAGGACAACAACAAACGGTGAGGTGCTGATCTTTTAAAACCAAGATTATCTTTAGTTTGGTCTGCCTGTTACAGGTCTTCGAACTTTTTCCTCACACGAACACTGGAACTTTGGTAGGACAGAGCCTGGCCTTTGTGTGGCTTATTATAACTAACTTCCCGATGGACCATCTGTTCATTACCGCCTGAGGAAAGGGGGGAGCTGTAAAGGATCTTGGGGGAGGATCACATGGTTTCCAGGGGGGGATGTCATCGCCAACAGAATATAAAAGGGAGACTGTAGAAATTGGGTGCTAATTAACTGCCAATGAGAAGAGTTAAAGTAATATTTGGGGCCGACCATTTAACTTTTGAGGGGGAGGGGGCGGGTAATTTCTGGTCATCAAGAAATTTTTTTCTAGCAATCTGCTGGGCAGGATATTTTTGTCCGTTCTAAATACTCTTTTTCTCTGTTATATTTGGGCTGCATGCAATTTTTTTTTCTTCCAACAAGCGCTTGCAGAAATTTTTTTTTAAAAATCACCCTCCCCCCACTCCCCCTCAAGAGTTAAATGGTCTGCCCCTTACACAGCCTTATAGAATATCACGTAAATTTTAAAGCAACGACCAAAATCCTCCGGGCCCGCTAAACGGTAATTAATGACGGATCCCCAAGTAAATTATTTCCGCGTCGATTGAGTGGTGAGTATATGCAGGGGTTCAGGGAAATATTCTGTGAATGATTGAGTAGATGTTCATGGGGGCTGTGCCCACTTTTCATCACCCCATCCCCGGACCAAATTCCAGAACAGCTACTATCACAATGTCTTTCCAAAAATTTCTCGCAAACACTTTGAGGCCGTCCTGCCTTTTTTTTTTTTTTTTTCAATTTGTTACTCTTTTTATGAACTGGTTTTGAACTTGCTGTGATAACAAAAATCACTAATTTTTTTACCCAGGGTCTGACATAACCATGAAATATGTGACCGTTTCTGTTGGTGCTGTAGCTGGTTTCTTGGCAGTTGTATTGGCTGCTGTCTCCCACAAAAGATTCATCAAAATCTGTGTACAGCACGGGAAATCCAAATATGGCCGTCCATCTAGTGGTTTGTATGCCTTTTAATAAAGAAATACTAACAATATCTCATAGAAGAGCGAAGGGCCCCCAAGTTTTGGATTCACGGTTCAGTTGCATAAGATATGTTTATAACCATTTATTTCACTTCTTCAGTCAGAATTGTCTTTCTTAGTAGACTTCAATTTTTAGATTTTCTTACCAAATACAACCAATGGTCGCATTATCTTTCGCATTATTATTTGCTGAGTGTTCATTGAAGCTATTGTATGATCGCATTCATGGCAACAAAGTAGAAACGAACAATCATGTACTATCGACACCACAAAACCTGGCACTTGTTTTGTGATGAATTGAAAGCCCCTTCTCCCAATAGTGGGCCACATTTTTTGTACGATTTCCCGCCTCCGTATAGATGTATACCAGAAAAGCCGCAATTCCCCAGCAAACACATCAGCCTGCTGACGTTAGTTCTAGGTCCTACCTGTGATTGAAATTCCGTGGGAGGTCTGGTTATGAGACTAGGTGTCAAGCTGGGTCGAGGGTCTAGATTGGGGTTAGATCTACAGTTACTCTGCCGACTAAGCTACGAGGTCGGACAGAGAAAGTCGGGGTCGATGGGGGGGGGGGGTTCAAATATCAGTTGTCAGTTAAAATTTCGACCATTTGTCAGTTCTCAGTTACACTTTAGGAAATTTGTCAGTTCTTAGTTAAATGAATATTAATAAATAACTTGGCAAGCTAATTTTTACTTTCTGACCCTATTATTGGCTACTGAAAAAGGCACATATACAGCGTGAACTCGAAAATTAAGTCGAAAATTGATAAAATAAGAACTCCTTTTTCTCAATTCTGGAATGAAATAATTCCAAGATCTTCCAAGTGACTTTCAGTCTTTGTTTGAAGGGTGTTTAAGTAAGTTACAACTCTTCTGCGCACAAACTTCTGTTTGACCGTGCGCAACATTGAAACGTTCCTTTTTAACTACTTAGCCGGTCAAAATGTTGGAAAGCAGACCGTCAGAAAGACGATCTTTTTTCCAAATGATATAACTTAATGTTTTGTTTTACAAAACGTCGATTGCGATTGGCTCCGATGAAATGATAGGAAAGGAATGTGCTTTTGTCTACTATTCAATTAGGTTATTATAGATATCTAATGTAAGAGTACCGTAGATATCCAAGCGAAAATGGGCACGAATGGGCTGCACGGATCTAAAACCCGTAATTAGGGTAATATCTATATCCGCTCGGTCAGAAAAGTTGTTTTCTGAGTCCGTGTCATATTAGTCTGTATATGTTCACATCTCAGCGACTGTCACTTCAACGATACAGTCCTCAACAAATTGGACATGTGTCACATTCCCAGACGCTTAAATGCCGTCTCCGAATCAATTTGATAAAAGCTTACAACAGCTTTTAAAATACAAGCTTTGACGGCCATCCTAAAGTTGACTATCGAGTTGGGTATCAAAGATCATATAACCGATATGTGACATATGACCTTGATGTGGAGGGTCCATGAAATAAATATTGACGAAATATGATACTCCGGCGTACTTCTACTGATATGTAATAAAGAACGTACTTTTAATGGACAAAATTGATCAAATATCTTTATTTTATAGACAGTTTTTAGGATATTTAGGGCGATCCAGTCTTTTGAGAGTTGTCAGTAAAAGCCCACCATAAATGTCAGTTGTCAGTTAGATTGTAGGTGATTTGTCAGTTAGAATTTGGCCATTTGTCAGTTGTCAGTTAACCCCATCCAGACCCTCTGGGGTCCCTTAGGTGAATCACCCTTGCTTTTGGAGTAAAACAATGGTTAGACTCCATATTATGACTCGGTTACTCTTTCATGTTGTGTGTGAAGCCTGCTCACGTTTTTACCCTTCTTTTGAATAAACCCTGTAACTTGCGTCTAACAAGTTTTCGTTTTACTATTTTCAGATCACGAGCCTGAAAATCGTGAAGTGTTCATGATTTTTAAAAGTGGTGATGGTAAATGGGTGGAAGAAAAGGCCGTACCTCTCATCGAAAAACAGCTTGGATTAAAGTGCCGAATACATTACAAAGACTTCAAAGCTGGTGGTATTATTTATGATATGATGTCGGAGAGCGTTTGCGAAAGTTATAAAAATGTAATAGTTTACTCAATGAACTTTTTGAAAGGTCGGTATTGCCAATTTGAACTGGATCAAGCAAAACAAAGACTTCTCAGAGATGATGACGACAGTTTGGTCGTGATAAGAATAGATGACGTAGATTTAAGATTGCTGCCTAAAGATCTGCAAACAAGAAGTGTGATCGACTATTGCACTGAGTGTGAAAGACCTCATTGGGAAAGAAAACTCACTGAGTTTCTCAAGGCGCCCCACAAAAATAGGCATGAAAGCACAAAAAACAATGATACTGTAGTATCCTCGTTAGACGTCGACTCACACAAGGACATAGTTTTCGTATAGACAGTTCCAAATATAGAGGACAGACGACTTGCATTATATACTGATTTATTCAAATCAATGGATTGAAGTACTTCATGCCAAGGTGCCAAGTGGATAAGATCTCTGTACAGTTCTTTCAGTATCACACAACTGAAACACAATCCTAGTTGAAATAGTCACAGTGCTGATAAGGGATAGCTGTTTTAGTATCATGACTCGAACATTTATTTNCCCATCAAGAAGCAACGAGCACTATCTTTATGAACGGTACGAAAAACTGAGTTTCTCCTCTCTTTAACGTATATTACGTCATGATGAGGCTCGTGCGCGTGTGGGTTTGTACTGGGCCACAAACGGAAATACGAACGAGCAAACAAATAAAATGAAAACAAATCAGCAATTCAGAACAAAAAAACCAAATTGACAAGACCCTTTCCTTTTTCCCTCTCTCCAATTCTCCTTCCCAATTGAACTCATGTTCAAACGTAAGACGCGCTCACTCGTACCCTCATTCAACAAGCATTCGAGTAAGGATCCCATTGAGGTCAGGCGTCAAGCGCGCAAAGACACCGTGAAGAAAAGCCATGACAGGAAAACAAAGAGTCTCCCTGAACTGGACGTAGGACAGTCCATATTGTTTGAATATTTGGAAGGAAGAGATTGGAAATTTGGTGAAGTCTCCAACATACTAGGCCCAAGCACCTATGAAGTCAAAAGACCTGATGGAAGCACATATCGACGAAATAGAGTTCACCTTAGACCTACTAATGTAAACCTCAAGACTCGAGACACTTCTCCATCTCATGTCTGTCACTCTTTCAACCAAACAGCATCAAAAGAACAGACGACGCCTACCAAATCTTTACCTGGTGAAGTGGCAAACAACAGTGACAACAATGCAAGCAACCCCCAAAGTGCTCAGCCCAACAGCCTTGCAGTAAATACACCACGACGATCCATAAATCCTCCTGTTCGTTTTAATGACTATATAATTAAGTAGTTGACACTAGCTGGTTTCTAATTGGTCATGACTTTGTTATAGGCCCTAAGGGCTCGTCAAAATACGGCACAACTTGTAAAAATTCTCAGCGATACCATAGCTAGTAGTCCCCTCTTTATTCATTGATTCGTTATTAAAAAAAAAACATCCCCACAGACAAACGTGAGTTCACAATGAGAATAATATTCTATGCTACTATTCAATACTACTATACAGCTAAACTAGACTTAGACAAAATTAAATAGGCATCTATTGATAAAGCATCGCTTGAAGCTCTCGGTTCCCACACGTGGCAAGATAAAATCATGGCCCCCGCTCCTTAAGAAAGTGATCTTTATAGAGGAAGAGGGTCATAAAGAAGATGAGCTGCATCGGTTATGATGTTGTTCCATAACTGCCTGTCTCTTGAAACGATGTAGCTGGTCA